CCCCCCAAGACCTTTTTTTTTTTTTTTTTGTAATCCATCATTTATTCATTTGTACAAGTCACAACTCAAGTACACAGCAGTTAGGTGGGGACAAATGAGAATGAAGCACATTAGTGCTGGAACCGGAAGAAAGCCTGGTTAACATTCTGGTTTTTACCCATACCGAATAGCATTAAAGGGACACCATTAATTTAAAAATTACATGCAACTTCCCCTCTGCTACTGACACCACATGTACTGATAAGAGACAGAACTTTAAAAATCCAACTGAATTTTCATTATTTGTGCTGCTGTTTTTTTTTTTACTGTATTTCTCTCAGACTAGCCTAATGTGGGTAGAATCAATTAAGCCAGTTCCACAGCTCTGCAACTGTATTTGGGATGCAAACAGGGTTTTAATTCTTTGGAAACATTTTCCATTAGAATTTTAAGCAGGCACAGAGAGGCTTCCTTTTTGTCTTTGGATTTGGAAAAAAACTTGTTCTTCTACCAAACACAAGCTACCGGGCCACAGTTTTTCCCCTTTAACTAGCAAATCAGTACAAGGGACCAAGCTAACAGATGAGGAACAGCTTAAATGTATTCACACAAGCTTCTGCAGGAGTGGTTTTGTAAAGATGTTTGCCAGGGTCTTCACTCCTTTCTCTAAAACTCACCTGGTCATCAGCAATTGCTTTAGCAAAACGAGCACAATCTAGCTGCAGGTAAATATCAGTCAGTTGGTCCAACAGCTTCTTTGGTTCAAACCCATATTTCTCAGGGTTTTCAACTTTCAGGTCACGGCACTTAGGGCCACACAGTTGCTGAAGGTTAAAGTTCAGCATAGCAGCCAATCGTGGTCCAAGTTCCTATACGGGCAAATGTAAAGCACAAACAGAAATGAGGAAGCTGTGAAGAAGGGCTAGTACCCTTTGGGGGACAGGCATCAAGATCAAGAATTTATGGCACTAGGATTTCCCTTCATGGAAGCTTCTGCTCAATTCACAGGTTTCACACTGCAATCTCCCAGCAGCACTTCTTTTTTTCAAACTGAAGCACTAAGCATACAAAATAGAAAACAATTCAACTCGTATTAGTGTACCCAAGGACCACATGTGACTAATAATATTACTGGCAGAGGGGTTTCTGCTGCTGAGAAACTGGAAGTGTCACACACTGAGCCATGTACCAAGCAGACAGACGCTGCATATGCTTCTCACTGTGGTTTGCAGTACCACACCTTTCTTGAGGACACCTTGCTTTGTTACAATACACACTCACTGTGGGAGTTTGGGTTGGATGCTCTCAACCCTGCTCAGAAAGGTTCAGACTCTGGCACATCTTAATTTTCCTCTTAAATTTGTTAAATTCAGTGCCACCATTTTTACAGTCTCATCACTACTGGCCACTACAGATCTAAGAAATCTATGATTTTCTCAGCAGCTAAGAAACCACCAAATCACTGACACCACCAATTAGATCTCAGCGCACTGGGGTGGGAGTGAAGGAATATGTTACAATTCCTAGCTCATTAGCCATCCAACGTTTTTTAAAAAGCTAGAAATCAGTGGGGCAGGGGAGAACACTAGAGCACGACCGGTCATACTTACAGGTCTGAGGAAAGGCTTCTGAACCTGCTTGGTAAGGATATGGAACATATCAACAGTTTCTGTTGCCAGGGCAAGATATGAGCGAGACACACGCTCATCCTGAGCAAGCTGAGACTGACGAGCCTGTTGCTGGTCCTAGAAAATAAAGATGTAACAATCCAAAGGCTAAGTCCTCAGAACTAATTATCTACCCCGAGCAAAACGGATTCATAGATGTAGGGTCGGAAGGGACCTTGTAGATCTTCTAGTCTAACCCCCTGCCGAAAAATTGGGCTCAAATGACCCCAGCCAGGTCAACGCCGAGCCTCCTCTTGAAGATCCCCAGCGTAGACGCAATCACCACTTCCCTTGGAAGTTGGTTCCAGATCCTAGCTGCCCTGACTGTGAAGTAGTGCCTTCTAATGTCTAGTCTAAACGTACTCTCTAGCAACTTATGGCCGTTATTCCTTGTTACTCTGGGAGGCGCTCGGGGGAACAAGGTCTCTCCCAAACCCCACTGGTCCCCCCTAGTAAGTTTATAGACAGCCACCAGGTCCCCCCTGAGCCTTCTCTTGCGAAGGCTGAACAGGTTAAGGTCCCGTAGCCTCTCCTCATACAGTCTGCCCTGCTGTCCCCAGATCATGCAAGTGGCCTCCTTTGGACCCTCTCAACGCTATCCACATCCCTCCTGAAGTGCGGCACCCAGAACTGGACGCAGTACTCCAGCTGCAGCCTAACCAGCGTCGCATAGAGGGGGAGGATCACCTCCTTGGCCCTGCTTGTGATGCACTTGTGGATGCAGGACAAGGTACGGTTAGCCCTACTGACCGTGCTCTCGCACTGTCGGCCCATGTTCATTTTGGAGTCAATACTGACTCCAAGATCTCTTTCTGCCACCGTGCTTTTGAGAAGGGAGTTCCCCAGCCTACAGGTGTGCTGCTGGTTCCTACTGCCCGAGTGCAGCACCTTGCACTTGTCCATATTGAATTCCATCCTATTTTCATTTGCCCACCCTTGTAACCTGTCCAGGTCCTGCTGTAATCTGTCCTTCCCTTCTAGCATGCCCACCTCACCCCAAATCTTGGTGTTGCGTGTGAATTTAAACAGGCTGCTCTCCACCCCATGGTCCAAGTTGCTAATAAAGAAATTGAATAGTGCGGGCCCAAGGACGGAGCCCTGGGGGACCCCACTGCCCACTTCCCTCCAGGTTGCAAATGACCCATCCTCCACCACTCTTGAGTGCGACCCCTCAGCCAATTTGCAATCCATCTGACTGTGTAGGTATCAATGCCGCAGTCACCTAGCTTTTTAATGAGAATGGGGTGGGAGACAGTGTCAAAGGCCTTCCTGAAGTCCAGAAAGACTAAATCCACCGCAACACCTGCATCCAGTGATTTTGTGACCGGATCGTAGAAGGCAATCAGGCTGGTCTGACAGGAGAACTGCCCCTAGTGAAACCATGCTGGTTGCCCTTGAGCATCATCCCCCACAGATACAATCCTGATCTACTCTTGGCAGAGAAAAGCAATATAGACTAAGATATGAATGTGATCCCATTCTTTGGTGTCAGGTATGAATACAGCTCCCCACTTACTGGTATGCCTGGGGGGAGAGTAAACAAGCAGACCACGGGTGGGCAAAATACAGCCCGCGGGCCTAATCTGGCCCACGGGGTGCCTAAAAAATTTAGAAAATTAGTATCTCTCTACCCCTGGCTACCGGTCAAAGATGACAGGAGCCAGAAGCAGCAGGATCCAAGGGGAGCCGCTGGCAGGACTCGGCAGCCACAGCAGCAAGGCTCGCTTGGCCCCGCTCCACCCACAGCCCACCTCCATCCCAGCCCCTCTGCCTAGCACAGGCTTCTGGCCTGGGGCCCTGGAGCTGTTCCTGCCTCCCTCCCCCAAAGAGGTGAATTCAGGTAAGAATGGGATAGGGGGGAGGGGGAGGAGAGGACTGTGTGCCATCACCCCAGCCTTCAGGGCTGGACCAGGCTGGCTCCTGCTATGCAGCCAGGAACCATGTGGTGCCAGAGAATGGCAGCAGCAGGCATTACGGTGAGGAAATGGCAGCGGCAGGAGTGGCGGTGAGTGGCAGTGAGCAGGCGTGTGAGAATGCAGAGACAGCTGGGCAGGGACCCAGGGCAGAGTGGCAGGAGCGCAGGCTGGCAGGGACTCACTGGAGCCAGGCTGGGCTGCACCAGCAGGGAGAGGGGAGAGTCGGCCCGGCTCCACAGAACGCCTGCCAGCACAGGCCCTGCACTCCTGCTGCCCTGCCCTGGGCCCCGTGTTCCCGCCCAGCTGTTGCTACATTCCTGCGCGCTGCCACTCGCCACCCCTACCCACCCCATCTGCCACCGCCATTTGCCCCCTCTCCTGCACGTGGTTCCCAGCTGCATCACTGGACTGCAGGACTCAACAGAACTCCTCGCAATTCTTGGCTGGCTCTGCGCGGTGCCGGCCAGGCCAGGCTGGCTCCTGCTACATCCTGCAGTCTCAGCCTTGCAGCTAGGACATGGCTGGGAGGGAACAACACGAGGAAGCGGCAGAAGAAGGGCAGCGGTGGCAGACAGGAGGGGGAAGTGATGGCAAGTGGGAGCATGGGGCCAAGAGAGAGAGAGACTGCCATACATGCACGCCACACACCTTCTCACACACCCCAGCCACCCTCCCCTTCCACACATGCTACAACCCTCCTCAGCCACCCTTCCCCCCCGCACTCACAGCCTCCCACAAGCTCCATACCCACCCATACCCCACATATCCACACACGTTCCGCCATCCCAAATACACAGCCCCACATCCCCCAATCCTATACATACCCACACGCCCCACACCTATCCAGTCCCCCACAACCTCCCCCCACACACTCTACACCCCATATACCCACAGCCCCCCTACCGACCCATACCCTGCCCACAATATACAATAGTAAAACTTCATTTTAAGCTTGTATACAATCACCTCTATGTACAGTAGGCAAACACAAGTAAATCAGGACAAAATATTTTTTAAAGTCAGATGTTGTAGTAGATGTTTGAGTTTAGAATATAATTTGGTATTTTTCTGGTTCTGAGATGGCACACCCCCTTGCTGAAAGGAGTACTTTCGGGGGTAAGAGACGGGACTTCTGGTGGCAAAGGCCAGGTGTTCGGGGACAGGACTTCTGGTTCCAACATGGTGACCAGGGGGCAGGGCACCTGTCAAGGGGCAGGGCTACCCTTGCAGGCCTCCACAGCTTGCCAAAACTTGGTAAGCGGCCCTCCAGCCACAATCACTGCCCGCCCCTGAAGCAGACTGTATCGAAGCTCTAAATTGCTGTATCACTCCACAAGGTAACTAGAAATGAGATCCCCTGTTATGGGATTCACATGGATTCTCTAGCAAATTTGCTCACTATAATTTGCTCTTCCCCACCAAATGCCAATACTTCATAGCCATCCTAGAATCGGAGAGTCAGGCAGAAATCTTTCTGGCTTGCAGTCCAAGGACTTCCTACTCCAAAAATCTGTGGCCATGTGCATTATTAAAGCCAGCTAGATAAGACTGCTGTCAATACTTTCAGCATATGCAACTTTTTGGGTATCATTTCATTATTGTTTGCATTTGGGGAAGAAAGCAATACCTTTTTGGAGGATAAAGCAATTAGAATTTTCTTGTCTGAAGAAATGCAGCAAAATAGATCTTGCCCTTCTTTTTATATCTTTTCTACGCCAGTCTGCTTTTTTAAAAATCAATAACCTTAAAATAAAAATACCTGACATTGGCAAGTCAACACACAATTGTTGTATAATGAGACTGAAGTCTGAGGTTTATTCTCTTCCTTTCTAGCCCAAGCTTTCTGCAAGATCAATGCCGTGACTCTTTTCTAGAACAATTAGTGGAAGAAAACTCAATTGGTGGGCATTTTCCAAAGCCTTCATTATAAAGGTTTGCAAGCCTCAGTTTCTGCACTATGATTTTTAGGTACACCTCATACTCTTCCCCTGCACACACACACTCCATGCCAACCCTGACGTAGCTCTGCAGATTGGTTTTTTGTTCAAGAAGTGGTGTCTGACATGACCTTGGCTGCAGGGGCAGCAAGAGACAAGATATCCCAGGGCTGCTTTTGCAGAGTTGCTCTTGGGTACTCCCTGTACCCAAAAAAGCTTTAGCACACAAAGAAAGACATGCTTTTGGGAAAAACCCAACTATACCCACCCTTGGCAGCAGATCCCACTGTTCCTTGTTCTTCATCTCCTCTTGGACTTCATGAATACGCTTTAGGGACTCCAGACTCTCATCCAGCAAAAACGTTGTGTCATTTATCAGCATGTTGATGTAGCGAACAAACTGCTTCCCAGAGCTGAGAACATTGAAGCAAATATTTATCCCTCCACAGCACAGCGGGTGTGTTCATTCCAGACTGTGACTCTCAATCTGGATCACCTGCAACCTCTCTCTCACATTCCACAGTCTGGACAATTCATTGCCCTACTCCAGAGCCCAGGCTGATCGTGGCTGCAAGAACCCATGCACACTCCACATTCCTCTTTGTTTAAATTGTTGCAGCTCTGGCAGGGGTGCCTAGCCATTCACAAGATGTCAGGTGAAAGCAGTATCTCCCCACTCCTGACAGCAATGGCAGAGCACAGAAGGAAGACATGGCACAAGGGGAGGAAAAATTCTACCTCAAAGAGCAAAGCAAGGACAAAATTGTCATTTAGCTAAGAAACCACAGGGTGGACCCAAGCAAACCCATCAGTGTATGGAAAAAGAACATGAGACAGACCAGCAGAGGGAGCACAGTGCAGAAGAGAGAGGGATAATTCCTGTTTCTGCACAATGAATTAAACCATGATATGGTCATTTAATGGCAATTAGGCCAAGCATGCCCAGAAAGGTCTCCTGCAGGATCTGAGTTAGGGTCCCCACTCTCCCAACTCAGGAACATGCTCCGTTGCTGCTCACTGTTCCTTCTAACAAAAGACTACAAAAAAGCATATCCCAGGGTAGTTTTGGCTCACTGTGACAAAAGCAGAGAGCGCGCATGTTTCCCTCCCCACAAAAGCAAGAGAGAACAAGCAGTGTGCAGAGCAAGACAGAGGGCTTATTTGAAAATGAACATGCAGGGAGATTTCCTCTTCCACTTCCAGGCTTAGTATGTTTTTTCTGGCCCTGACACTAAGTGTCTGTTCAGTTCTGCTCTTGGAGCGATCAGCCTTGGACCTTCATTCCAGTAGTCTTTACACTTCAAGTGGAGGGTTAATAGGCTCTCTGCTGGCTTTCATGACAGCGAGCTGCAGCATGCATAGCCTTTTACTCACTTGAACTCTTCCATGAAGGTGCCATGGTGAGCTATGTTCTGCCAGAGGCTTTTGAAAATGGTACTGATGTGGTAGCGGATGGTAAATTTGTCATAGAACTCGCTGGTGGCTCCAGTGTGCTCAACATCTGAGAAAGAAAAAGACCCCAATGTTTCCACTAAAACCTCTTCACCCTCACCCCTCCCCTCCTGACTGCGCTGTGTTGGTACATCGTACCTTCCCTATCACACCGTAGCTGAGCAGGAATAACTGGAAACTGCAGGAAATGAAGACCCCTGGGCAGATTTCAACTGGGTCCCCATTTAAAATAGCTGTGCCCACTATCTCCCAGAACCAAACCTTCAGGGGATATGGATCCCATGGAACATCTCTGAAGGAGGGGAATACCATACCTCTGCCTTGATTCCATCATTTAAAGCACATAACTGTTTATGCTTGCTAATACTTGCAGTACATATAAAATTAAACATATATTATCCCTTTAAAAATGATGAGGTTTGGTCTCTCAATTAGAACAGGTTTTTGTGATTAAATCAGGTGATTCAGTTGTTTCTACATCAACTGAATCTGAGGGCCATTTCACAGAGGTAATGATCCATACTAAGACTCTCTGAGGGTTTAATATTTCCAGTCATCACCACAGCACGTCAGTACTTCTAAATAAAACAATCAATAGTAACAGTAAAGTCCCTAGTGTATTTTATAAAGCCTCTGGCTCTTCTCTGTTTTGGAGGCAAAATTCTGCTTGCATACAGCTTTGATTTTTATTTTAGGAATTTGCCATTTCTTTTTGTTTAGGCTGCTTGCATTGTTTCAGGGTAAAACAATACAATAATTCTTGATTTCAAATACATACAGCACAGTCAAATAAGGCTTGCTAGGAAAAGCTTAATAGGGCAAGAAAGATAGGGCTGGCAGGGACCTCTGGAGGTCATCTATTCCAACCTCTTTCTTAAGGCTGGATTATCCCTGCCTACACCATATCATCCAAGTGTTTGCCTAACCTGTTCTTTGGCAAAAAAAATTACGGGGAAAGGAACCAACAAAAAATACAAAAAGCCAGAGTGCTCAGAAATTACCTGGTTTTGTAAATTTAAAATATTAGCCTTGATGTTGCTATCAGTGTAGGCACCAGTCTTGTGATCTCTTCTCTGCCCTGTACATTTGACTCTCAGCAAGTTTTCTTACCACAAAAAAAGAAACCTGGGAGAAGTCTCCCAGGTTATGTGAATACGTGCATGCAGCCTTGGGCATAACAAGTTTCAGCTCCAGGCTTGGCACGCATGCACCACTAGAGCATTATAAGCATCTTTACACGGTTTAGAAGTGCTGACACAAGTATGGCCAGAAAGCAAGATTAGGCCAAACCTGGTCAGGATCCACAGGAGACCGGCCTTGATATTTCAGAGCCTAAAGCAATTGATGACATGCGCACGCACTTCCCTCCCAGTGTCTTACCTGTATAAAACTTCATCAATGAAGGGACTAACAATTTAGTGGAGAGAGGATGATTCTCAATCATTTCAAAGAACTTCTGCGTCCGTGGCTGAACGGCAGGGTTTGTCATGAACATCACCTCCACCAGCTTAGCAATCAGATAAGGGTTTCGGATGTAGTTCTGGTTGCACAGCATCACAACAAGGAACATCACAATGTCCTGAGTGCAGGGCTCATAAAGCACCTGAGGAGCATATCTGCAGAGAAGGAAGAGAAAATAAGCATGCAGCATCTACAAGGAATTCCACCATGTATCTACCTCAGGCAACTACAGGTTTGGAAGGCCCATTAGCACTAGCAAAACCATATGTCATTTTGACACCACCACTACCTATCACCATGGAAACAAGATTTTCATTAGATTCTATTAGAGGCTCTTGCCAGTAGCCCTCTGGGAACTGGATCCTGGCCCCCAACTCCAGGAAACAGGCCTCCTTTGAAGCACAGCCTCATTCAGCTGCTGCACTTTCTCTGGCATCAACATCCCCTTAGCAGTGTCACTTTAACAACAGCTCCTAGGAACTGTCGCTTTGGAAGCTGAGCTGAAGATAGGACTGCAGGAGGGAAACAACTGAAATCCCAAATTTTATAAACAGCTGCCTAGTCAGTCTGAAGAAGAGCTGCACTCAGCTATAAGGTTAGCTTCAGAAATCAATGCAATTCTGTCAAACCCACAAACTGAAGGGCATTTCTCTCACGGTCGCATCTTACATTTACATCTGTTCTAGAGCTTGTTAATACCGCATCAGATCTACAAGAGATGAAATTCAGACCTATCTCGATATCAAGAGGGTGGTGGTTTTTTCTACCACCCTACACTGAAAACGGAGTTTCCTGTAGACGGTATGAGAGATATACATATACACACAGCTTCCAATCCCCCTTGCAAATAATCACCAAGGGTTGAGAATAAAGCAGCTCGTGGTTCCTTGAAAGTCACCTGCAACCCTGTTCCTACAATGTCTTAAACGGAGCCAGAGCTAAAAGCAGCTCACATGTAGAGGCTAAGGCAACAGCCTGCTGGCCCAACCTTCTCTTGTCTGTACACCTACAACAGTACATGTAGTTGATCCCCACAGAGTCACCAGAAGATGCCAAGTCCCACATCCCCAGCACCACACAGCCTTCAAGTCAGCTAAGAAAAGGACAGAGTCACAAAAACTCAACACAAAGTTGCTCAGAAATGAAGAACTCGAAGGAAAAAGGAGAAGCAGGAAAGAACAGGGTAGGGGTGGGAAAGGAATAGCTAAGGTAAGCTCTGGATTTTCTCTCAGGCAGGCACACAGGGGGCTACCAAAGTCTGTGCAACTTATCATCACAACTTGCCTCCCTGCACTTTCTCCTGCCTTCTCTGCCTTTCCTCAAGCAGAAAAAAGCCATGATCAATGAGCATGTTTTTACTGGTCTTGCCTTTGCACTGGAGCTGGAATTGGCTTAGCTCAGTGTCCACACTGGTTTTCAGCTACAGAAATGGCAGATGCCAAAGTGGATCCAGAGACTACTGCAAACACTATCAACAATACAGTATCATGTCACAGTACAGGGAAAAAGTAATAGCTGATCTTCAAGCATGACTTGACTTACTGAACAATAAAAAATAAAAATTCAGCCACATCTTCCACGTAGAACTCCGGCAGTGCTGCAAACACCTTCGGAACGTCAGGATTTAAAGGCAGCTTCATGCTACAGAACAGAAGACACACAGGGACAGAGTTAACGAGGGGGATCGTGCACTAGCCGGGTTAAACAACATTTTGCGTTCGCTTACAGAACAGCTCCTTGCAGACCTTCTTAAATGAGGAGTTTTAACCAAATCTCAGTGCTTCACGTCAGGAATCCACACCTGAAATTTTTATCGCTCTAACAGAAACTGTTGCATAAATAAAGCTGGCATTCTTCACAAACTCATCCATTGACATGAACCAACCACAAATTTTCCAGCAGGTGGTAAAAGTGAGAGACTGGTTCAGAGAATGACAGACGTCCCCGGCCCTGAAACTCACTTGGGGTAAGCAGGGTCGAGGATGCGAAGCATCAGCTGAATCACCATGCCATAAAAATTCAGACATCTCCTCAAAAAGTTTTCATCTAGCAAGCCAGCATCTGCACACGCCTTGCAACGCACCAGCTTCTGCAAGAGAAGATGCACATAAAGGCTTATCCAGTGCAACATACAAGTAACACAACACAAAATCCATTCAAAAAGCTAAACATGTCAAAGAAAAACTATTCCAGCCCCCCCCCCCCCCATAGACCATCTAGGTAACAGGACACTTGAAAGAAATAACAATGAAATCAAAGACGTCCAGTATGAACATATATACAAGGTGAAAACCTTGCTAATTTGTAGGCAAGGAGTAATTACTCCAACAGTAGTACAAGAACAGGAGTTAAGAAAGGAATCCGGGTGAGGTAAATCGCTCAACGTTGTCTAGATGATGCAGCATAAAAATTTCCATCAACTGAAAACTGGGACTATTATGCAGACCACAGAAATTCTCAGTGAGAGACTGTAGCACACCCACTTTGGAAAGCTCTCAGTAAAGGGAGTTAAGAACCTTGGAGTTCTAAGTTCAGGTTGGCTCTCAGTTGTGCACGCACATATAGAGATCCTGAGTAGTTGCTTCGGCTCATTACGTTTATTTTCTAATCTGGAAGATGGGGACAGCAATATTTTCAGATTTCCCAGTGCTGTCCCGTGGATTAGTCTTTGTGACTTGCTTTTAAGTTTAAAATTGCTAAGCACTAAGGGGTTTCAACCCCTATCATACAGTGCATGTTTATGAGGGTACTTAACAGGTATTATACTACACTGTAACATGCTACAAACAGACTACACATACAAGAGCATCTAAGGAACATTTTCAGACACCTTAAAAAAAACCAAAAAAAACTCACCACTTAACAGCCAACAGACCATTTACAGTGAAAGAAAACATTAACACTGCACTCACATATTGGCAAGGCCAGTTAGTTGCCATCCCAGCTAATTACAAACCTTAAGCTGCGTTTTACAGCGTTTCAGCATCTCTCGATGTCTGGTAGCCAGAGGAGAATCTTTCCATTGACTCTCATTGTTTTTCAGATCCTCGACAGTCCTGTAAATCATATGAAATCACTGGTGATTATAGCAAAGGGGACACTATCTACCTGGCTTTCTTGCCAAATTTTCCTTCGCTGATTTTATTAAAAGTAAGATTACAGACCTCATTCTTCAACCAAAACTACGCCACACCATGACAAGGACAGCAAGCTACTCCTGTATCTTGCTGAAAGCAAAGGCAAACCTTGTCCAAAGGCCACATGCTAGGATGCACCAGATACATCAATCCAAGCCTGACATACCCATTAAGCTTTGTTTCTCAATTTTTTTTAGAACCAAAGTATCCGTTGATAGACTCAAGACACCCTTCAGAAAATGACAGTTCTTAGCTTTCACTCATTTTTTGACTATGAGAACAGGTCAAAATGGTTTCAACACTAAGGATTTCTTTTTTAAAGCTCTGGCCCCATCCGTTTATTTTCCCAGGGACAAGTAGCAATAGCACACTTTGTGTTGCTACTACTTGTCCCCAGGAAATGCCCATGCCATGCATGCTCCGGCACGCAGCAGGTTACCACAGGCAGATACAGAAGGCTGGGTCCAGCAACTGTGCTGGCCCCAGCAGCTTTACCTGGGGTCCTGGGGGCCTTGGGGAGCTGCAGCCACAGTGTTCCTGTGGCTGGAAGCCTGGCCGGCAGCTGAAGCGTGGCTCCGGCTGGCCAGGCTCTGGTTTTGGGTGGGGCACATTGCTGCCATGTGTGCCACCCTGCTCTTTGCCATGGTATTTTTTGACCCTGGGATCTCCTGGGGTCAACCCCCCCTTTCCCACCATGCAAGGTAGCGGCATGTGATATGCCTGCATGTGCAGGGTGTAGTGACAGAGAGAGATCTGCAGCACCATATACCACATGTCCACACCCATCTGGACACAGACTCTGGGGTTATCCTGTGAAACATGTTTGCAAACCTAAGTGTGCTAACATTGCTTGGCACCCCACGGCACCTTTGAAAAGATCTCAAGGAGCCCTGTGGTGCTGCCACACCTTGGTTGAGAGTCACTGTGTTAAGCAAACTAGAAGCCACGACCACAAAGTTGGGGGCGGGGCGGAAGCAGGGAGGAAGACAGAAGAAAAAATGGCAGGTGGAAGAGGCAGGATGATAACAAGGGAAGAATTCTCCCTTCAGGAATAGCTAATCATTTAATCACCACATTTTGTACTATTTATTTCGTACCAAATCTACAATATATATAAAGAAAAGCACTTAAACAAGCACTTAAACCAAGTCATTAAGAACCATGATGATCTAACTAATAGCGAGAACATCTGATATTCAGGCCCAAATCTCATTTACCTCTAGGAGCAAGGGCAAAGAGATGGTGAAAAGCAGAAGCAGCTAGAAGGAAAAAAGGGAAGGTGCCAACATGAATTTCCCCAAATACATTCCCCTCCAGACCAGGTACAAATGCAATCCCTGTGCCATCTCTGGATCCCAACCTCCACTAGTCATTTTCTTTTCCAGATTTCTTCTTTTAACCCACAATCCCTCCGATTACAATTCTAAGCTGCAGGGGGGGGGAAGGAGCGTAAACAAGGATGAAATCATTCCCATTCTCTACATCCATGCAAGGGCCACACTTATTAATAACGCTGTTGGCCCTTTCCTCTTGGCAGTCAGTGTAGATCTAACATGGGGAGTAAGTCAATGGTAGACTAGCATCACACAACCATCCACACTAAGCTCTTTTCTGGACACAATGAGTTCAAATATCTTCTGGACTCAGCTCATTTTAAAAGAGCAGCTTCTCAGTGCAGCATGCAAAGTATTTATTCTTCTCTCCTATTCTGCTTCCATTTCCTCCCTCCTTCAGACATAAGAGCAGCCTCCGCTTCCTCTTGCCCCCCCACAAACAACTGCTATCTGCTGCAGCTAATTATCTAACCTTAATTTCTTTATGAGTGACATCCAAATACATGGCCTGATCTTCCTGGGAAATGCTAAGTACCCATAACTTCGACTGAAATCAATGAAAGCCAAAAGCACTCAGCATGTTGGAGGACTGGACACAGTTGCTATGGAAACACCCAATGACTGACAAGCCTAAGAGAAATGGTTATTCTTAAAATCCAGGGTCTGCTTATTCAAAAACCTTTGTTTATGTACAACACGCAATCATTCCTCACAATTAGGCCCTAACAACCTTCCTAGATATTTGTATGTGTATATCATAAACCACAGGTTGGCAACATACGGTCCACAGGCCAGATCCAGCGTCACAATTTCTGGGACCCTGAAGACTGCAAGGAACATCCCAAAGTGCAGTGCACTTCTGGATAGGTGGAGGAGCTGTGGCAGCAAAATCCATTCTGCACCACGCACCACGCAGTAGATGCAACAGCAGCGAGTCAAAAAAGGGCTCCCCAGCCAGACAGGGACTTGTGGAGCAGTTAGGTAATGATCCATGTAGGGCTGTGCTAGCTAGATTGCAGCAGATGGGGATGCTTTGCGAGTAGGAAAGTTATGCTGGAGACTGGGGTGCTGCTGGGGGTGCCTTCAATCAGTGTATAAGGACTGCCTACCCACAACTCCTCCTGGGCATGCAGGGCTGGGGTTGGCAGGTGGACAGGGGTTGCTCTAGTGGGTGCTCCATGAATCTCTCTCACTGCTGAGACACTGCAAGGAGCTGAGGCAAATCCAGCAATCCTTGTACATGTGCTTTGTGAAGAAGCTACCTGGTGTCACATTGCTGGTGAAGATCAACAGAAGAATAAATTATACACTCCAAAACTCCTCATGACTGAACCGTTAATTGGGCCCTCCATTACTGAAAGGTTATCAATCCCTGCTATAAACAACTCACAAACTATTATTGAATGCAGATGAAAGATCCTGCAAACCGTCTGTGGTCTTACTGCCAAGGGACTTTTACTAAGTGAACACAATTATACGCCATGGAAAATACTCATGCTGTATAATCTGCTCTTACTTATTGCAGTGGGGAAAGTACCTTGCGACTGCGATTGTACAGCTATAAAAGTCTATTTGGATTCATGTCAAGAAGGGAAAACAAAAGCATCTTCATGTTAGCATCACAACTGTAGGGTTTTTTTAATTTTAGAAACGACAGGCCACTCATTGAATGACACAAGCAGCCCCATCACTCAGATTCACTGTAGGAGCTTTTACATAATGAAGGAGATGATCACTTCTTATCCTTACACACCACAGTAGCCCTGAGGAACAATAAAAATATGGTCTGTTGGGGGGATACAGAATATCAGACAGAATAATGATACTCTGCTTTTAAAGCAATCACTGCAATGACTTGCACATCAGACAGATCCAACTTCATATACTTCTATCGCAGTGCAAAAAGGCCTAAAGTATGATATCCTCACACTTCTGGTGGTGCCAAAGAGCACTCAACAGTTTAACCACTGTAAAAATTACCAATAACATTGCCGTAAGGGGCTTTTGAGAAAGATCCAGTTCTCCAAGACAGGGACTCCCAAGGAGTTTGGTATTATATGTTCACCTAATCTCTTTTCTTTCCCCTATTATTTGAATTTGTGATGCAAACCACTGCCAAGAAAATCTGTTAGGACTAAAAACAGAAGACAGATCACAGGATAGACACCACCATACTCTACAACTTAAGTACATCCATAATGTGCTTTTAACTTCCATCAAATTTGCAGGAATCAGAATCACACTCTGGAAAACACTAATTTAAGGTGACAGTTGGAATCTTGTATCACATGCTAGGTAACTAACACAGCGTCTAACCTGTTGAGTTCCCTGATGGCCCGCAGTCTACGGATGTAGCGGCGGCAGCTTGGCAGGATGGAGAGGTGGTGGGCATGCAGGGTTAGAAAGAAGCATTCCGTTGGGAATTTCGGCTCAGAAAATTGAGACGGATCCCTGTCTAGAAAAAGAAAAGAAAAAAGAAAAAAGAACAAAACATGGGACCAAGGACAGTGAGAAAAGAACTGGATGAAGTAGTGAGCAGAATCTGACCACCCCAAACTTCTCTGCAAATCTTCAGCTGAATTAATGAAGGCAGAAAACGATACCAAGCAAATTGTTTAGGGACAGGAAAAAGAGTTTGCAAAAAATCAACCCAAAATATCTCTAGCATCACATATCAAAATATCACTAGTACCAGAACAAAAGGATTGAAAGTAAAAAGGAACATGTATGTACTATACTTACAAAGCTCAGCCATCCAGTCTGTAACATCCTCCATGGTTGCTTTCACTCTGGTCTCATCCGTTGGGAGGATGATGCGACACCTCGGATGGAATATATATGTGGGATCAACTGTTTCTAGCTTAATTTTTGTGCTTAGCTGCTGCAGAACCCATAGGAAATTGAGCATAAAACCATCTGTGGACACCAACCGATCATCTGTCTGTAAGGCAAGGTACACAAAGTGAATGCTTGGAAAAGGTATCTTAAAATAAATCAGTGGGTGACAGACCTTTGCAATGAACAGGTTTAGGAGCCAAGCCACTGTTAATAATATAGAATATATGACCAAAAAAAAGACAGCACCTCTAAGGAGATTTCCCAATAACTAGAGTACAAGCAGCTGTAACTGCCAACATGGTCTCCTTGTCCCGTGTACGTTTAACCACTCATTTTTGAGGAGCATTAAATGTATATATGAAAATGGAAAAGCAGTAGGAAGGAAAGAGGGGAAAGAAGCTGGGAAATTTTTAGCAAAGTTATATTCAGGACCAAGAAGGATTAGGTATGTTGCTAAGCCTTGATTCTTACCCTTTACCTTATAAGCAAGATTTACAGTGGTTCTTGGAAGTTTAAGTTTAAGTTCTGACAACAGTTTCAAATGTTGCGTCTATGGAAAATGGGAACCTCAAATAATGCCGCCTCAGCAGCACCTATGATTCCTACATAAGATATGCCAAGGAAAAAAGTGGTATGAAAAGCAGGTAACTAGTGACAAATGCATGCCCTATTGTTTCTGCAAATTTGTGCTAGTTCATTCCCAGGGCATACACAAATCTACAAGTCACAAAAATGTGGAACTTAGCAACTTGATAAACAGCTATCTGAAAACTTTCTTTCCCCACTTGGTGGACACTTCCACAAATGGCAGGTTGGTATATATCAATAAAAGGGATAAGCTTCTGCTACAGAATTATAGGCCAACACATTTAGCTGGCATCTCAGTGTTCACCCAGGAGGAAACATATGCTTTAAGCTAGCAAGTAGGTTAATTTCAGAAAATAATTTAAAGAATTCTTTTGAAGACTGATCCAAATGGATTTTCTGACTGCTTCAGTCCTTGCAGTCCCTTTGATTTCTGTTCCTGAAGTACCGCTGTATCAGCAGACATCTAGAGCTAACTGTATTAACTGCCTCCATGATGAATAGGAATAGAGCTTCCCGTGTTTACCTGCATCTGTGCCTTCTTCATGTTGGCATTGACAACAGCTGCCATGTAACTAAGAGCTGCCTCCCGAGTTTCCCCATTCAGCAAAATATTATGTAGAATCTTGAACAGTTCTAGCTGAAATGCAAAGTGAAAGATCTGTTCATAAAGCAAATCTGTCTCCATTTCTACAGAAGATAACTTCTTCCCCCAAGTTCCAAGTGACTAGTGAAGTATTCCGAGAAGTCTACAGAACATCCTACTGAAGTAGAGTCACATTATACAAAATAATGATACTTCAGCTACAGAAAACTTCTCTCTCTCTCTCTCTCTCAGAGTGACATAAACAGAAGAGTATACCTTAAAAATCATGGCAACATATGCCCTATGATAACGTATCATGTACTCTTTTATTTATCCTCAGACAAAAACTACATTCCATAGATATGTTCAAGGCATGGCTTCAGGACCTGGTGAAAGAAGTCTTGACTTGTGGTCCAGTGGCTAAATCCTACTTGGCTCTTCTTTTACCTGCCCTCACCCTTACTGCCTAAGCTGGATTTTGTTAGAATACTCTTCACCAATGCTGTTAAAACCAGGAATGGAAAAAAAAAACTACGGATAAAAGTCCACCTGCAGGAGGGAACTACTGAGACACTTACCCTTGCCAATTCCAGGTAATGCTGCAAAGATTGGCTAACAACACGGTTGTTTTCAAGAGTAATGGCAGGCCCTGAGAAATACTTTTCAACCACTTTAGTCTGAAAGGAGAAAGAATATTTGCAAGCAGTACAAAAAGCACATCTTGTGGTTTATTCTCAGAAAAGACACTGCAAGCAGTGCTTCTTGAGCACTTACATCATCTTCAGCAAAGACAGAGAGACTGAAGAAAGCGCCAAGGTACGACAGTCTTTGCAGCTCACGTCCTGCACCCGGGCTTAAAGATTTAGGCAACCACAAGGGCAAAGATACAACCTACCAAAAAAGAGAGAGAAACAGTAAGACACAGAGCTGCCAAATCGGTAGTACTCTTTTTCTATTTGCATTACCATTTTTGCACCTTTTATCCTTGACATCTATCACATTCACTCAGTTCTTCAACACAGCTGTGTTAGCTGCTAAGTAACAAGGTCTCTGCTTGCTTAGAATTTTAAAGTATCACAGTCTCCATTCTTGGTCTCTCTGTATTCCAATATGCCACTTTTTAGGGCGAGATCTCTTTTCACTGATGTTCCTCCTATCTTAAGCTTACTGCTGTTAAATATTTCACTAGACCTCAAAGCTTCCATCAGTATCAGGCCCCTGTTCTAACAGATACTAGACATACCACAAAACAAGAAGTGGCCCCTGCTCCCCAAGATTTCCAATACAAGGAGCCTTAAAGTACCACAAATTATAGATGCAAATCTTGACCAGACTGGTAGTGCCAAGGAAATTAGTCAATTGAAACAACAGTCCATCAACAAGCCTGCAAGCTGATCAGCAGGGATCCAGGTTTTCTGTTTGCTCAGGAAAAAAATGTGGATTTTCTCCTTTAAAAGGAGAAAAAACAGATTTGTTTTCCTTTAAAAGAGAAAAACCCAGGAAACCACAGGTTTCCCCTTGCAGGCTGACAGAGTTCCAGCCAGCAAAGGCTGCTCGGGGATGGGGAAAGTGGGATGCAGGGTGCACCATGTGCACATGCACGCACGCACATGCATGTGGCAACCAGGCAGTGAGGTGGAGAGCAGCTCCAGCAGCTTCCTCCAAGTAAGTCTAAGGAGGGAGGTGGGGGAAGGGAACACAGGCAATGTGTGTGTACACATGGGGAGGGCTGGGGGAAACACATGGCCCCCTGAGATTTCTGCACCCACAGTGGGGCATAGGGTGGCAACTGGGCCAGATCAGCTGCAGACAGGAGCCATTTCTGTGGCCCAGAGGGTAGTACCTGGCATGGGAGGGAATGCCATGTCACCATGGCTGCCAAGGTGAGGTGCTCTCTGCCCACCCAGCAGAATGAGGGGCATAACTCCACAACTGCTGCACCTGACCCTGGCGGCCATGCTAGCATAGAGCTCCCTCCTGTGCTGGGTCCTGCCTGCTGGGCTGCAGAGGCTGCTCCTGCCTGGAGCTGGTCCGGCTTGGCTGCAGCCCCACACCCCACTGAGTGCCAAAATCTGGGGAGGCATGTGCCCCCCTCCATGTCGATTGTGCCCACATCCCCCTTTTCCCACACACCCACCACCTTCCTCACACACTCGGGGGCTGGGTCCTGGGGATAATGGGTCAGAAGTGACAGGCACCAGCAGTGCTGGGACTGCTGTGGGTCAGGAGTGAGGGGCAACGGCATGAGCAGGGGCAGGGCACTGGCATATCAGGCCTGTTCAGCACCAGAAAGTAGCCAGGGGGACAGCCATTGCTGGACCCATGTCCTGATGAGCAAAGGGGACAGAGGGAGCTCTGATTTTCCTTGATAAAAAAACCCCACAACCAAACACCAAGATAAATAACTATTTAGAACTTAATTTATTATAATGATTGATGCACTGGTAGGCTTCCAAACTGCTTTAAAATTGTAAATATATCAATAAAAATTGTATTCAACTGATACCTGTATATAAAGGGGCTTTTCATTTTAATAATTGCAAAAAAAAATGCAATTTGGCATTTTTTTTAAGTCAGAAAAATAGGGATTTTCATCAGAGAATTTGGGATTTTTAAACAGAGGAAACCAGGTTCCTTGCTGATCAGGAGGTGGCCTTACCAGTTTTAGCTCAAGGCTGAAAGCCAGGAATTTATCTGGCTCAGCCAGCTGACTTCTTTTGTGATTTTATGACAAGCCACTTCTCTGAGGCTCAGTTTTCCAGTTGTAAAAAGTCCCAAACACTCAACGTTTTAAGAGAAAAATCAGTTATGTATTTCCCCAGGGCTTTGTAAACATGCTAGGTGAGCACTATGTACTATGTAGCAGAAATATTGTGTGTCAATATGTAGGAAAAAGTGCATTTATCAGTAGAACTAATTACCCAAAAGTACACTCCTCCCAAGAATAAATATGCCCAGAGCTATACTTCACAAAACTCTGGTTACACCTTGTTTTTAAAGCAATGCAAGCTTCAAGAGAACAACTTCTCTACTCTTGCCATTTTACAGCATTTCTGGCTCACTAAATCAATCAGGATATACTTACCAAGCTGCACATGGGATGTGTTTTCCCAAACTTGATTTCACACAGTTCACCTAATGCCTGTAAGGAAAAACCCCATGAACAGTTCATCCACATGCATTTTCCACATCATTTTTGGTGAAAGAATAACCATGCTAGAACGTTTAAAAAGCCAAAGACTGCTCCACTAAACTTCCTGGCAAAACTTCCCTACACTATAATGGAAACAGGATATAACTACCTTAGCGCCTATTTTAGCTTTTGTGTATTTTCCAAGTTGTCTCAAGAAAGTTAAATGGTTCAACTGGACAATAAATATTGCACTTATTTTAGAAATTAGCTGTGCTAGTTATTTCCCTCTCTGGTACAAAATGATGCCATTGCTGGACTCCTGAACTGCCATACAAGAGTCAGTAACAGTAATAAATAGAGCTATTGTCCTACACAAACCAAGGCTTTTGTCTTCCAACTCTGAGTGGAAGCCTGTCAGATGAATGTTGAGGCCTGAAACAAAGAATCCTATCTACAATCTCTAACTCGCTTTAAACTGCAGCAAAGTAGTAAAGAAAACAGCTACAAAGGAGGATTTTGAAAATACAAAAAAAAAAAGGTAGGCTTTCATGTGTTGTACTTCTCTTGTGCTACAAGTTCTCACGCATCAATTATACTACAGTGAGCACAGCTACTGCTCTATCCCATTGGCTTGTTCTTTGCCAGTATAAGGCTCTGATGAAGAAACTCCACTTAGAAATATTACTAGCCTATGCAGCAGCCAGAAGGCAAATTTCACAAGAGTTATAAACTGAGACTAGTAGGGGAGCCTGATAATAGAAAAACACAAACCTGCCCAAGAAAAATTGTTTGTTTAGGGGTTTGTTTTATGGTTTGGGGTTTTTTGTTTGTT